GGAAAACTGAGCAAATGGAAACAGACTGTTTCTACGCAGTTACCTCTAGAGAAAGAGAAAAAGCTGTACCGCGAGCAAATGAGACGACTGCATATACATGTCTCGGTGCGGAAGAAATCGCACACTTGTAACGACGTCGGTACGTGACACTGTTGAGGGCGAAGGAGGCCCCGCTGCGTTGGCAGAGCAGGTGGCGGGGCAGATGTCGGCCCGGGAAGGGCAGCACAGGCTGTCACCTAAAAGTCCAGGTGGACAGGGTGGCGGCCTCTGAGGGGAGGTGGGAGGGCTGCTGCCCCGCTCCTGGTCACTGCAAGTGGGCAGTATTACTTGGCTTTCAAACACACATCCGTAGGTTGCTACTTCCAGGAGGAGACCTCCTCATCTCTCCTCCTCTCACTACGTCCACTAAGAACTCTGGGCCTGACGTTATGGAACGAAACTAAGAAGGCTGGCAGGTGGGCCCGCTGTGGGCCAACAGACCAACGGAGGACAGAGGTGGGGCCCTGGTTTCCGGATCTGGAGCTAAGATGCCAGTGACCCAGAGATGCCCATGGACACGACGCAAGTGAACAAGAGCCTGCTCTCTCCAGCCAAGGGACACCAAGGCTGCCTCGCAGAGCACGAGGCTCCTGAGGACGCTGGCCCAGTGCCGCCAAGCACCGCAGCCCAACAGCACCAAGATGCCCTGAACCCAGCAGGAGGCTCACGTTGAGTGCTGGGCACTTACAGGGTAAGGCCGGGCACATGCCGTGGGCCTCTGGCTCCCAGCAGAGGGTATAACAAGTCGGTAGCCGCTCTGTGTAAAGTGCACTGCAGTGGGTTTACGCGAGAGATATTGACCGACACACGGGGAGAGGGGCGAGCAGGGCAGCAGGGACGGCCTTCGGAGGAGCTACCGCGGAGCCCGGCTCGCAAGGGTGCTGCGTCCCCATGAACCAGGGTCCCTCCTCAGACCAGGCATCTGGGTGAAGGGCGTCCCAGGCCCGAAGACTGACAGACTAAGGCACATGGGAGGAAAGGAAGAGAAAGTACCTGGAGAATCACCGCGTTTTGTCTGGCTGGAGTGAAGGGTGCTGAGGACGGAAGGAGGAAGATCATGCCAAAGCGGTGGGCAGGGCCTGGCGGAGGGGAGCGCGCACTTAAGTCCACAGAAGCCGCTGAAGGACTTATCGTGACAATGCTGAGGATGGCTTAGAGGAAGATCCGAGGAGGCAGGAATCCAGGCAGGAGGGAGGGGGGCAGAGCAGGAATGGGGGCTGCAATGGCAGGATCTTCACGAACCCTATCATCTGGGTCAGTTTTCCCACATTTCAGGAGTGAGGGGAGATGCTGGGATGCAAGCAGAGCCACACTCGTGTTGACAACACTGCTCAGCAGCTTGGCGGCCCCAGAAATCTCTCTGAGCCTCACTTTTTTTACCCACAAGAGGAAGGAAGGACGCGAACCATGCTGACCCCCCAGAATTCCTGTGTGAATGCCCGTGGGCATGGGTGCGCAGTGGCACGGCCCATGGGCATGGGTGCGCAGTGGCATATGCCTGTGGGCATGGATGCACGGTGATGGTGCAGCCCATGAGGACACTGTGAAAACAGTAAACACACTGTATTCCTGTTACCACTGCAGCAAACTACCACGAACTCGGCCGCTTAGAAAAGCCCAACCTGCCCAGGCTGGGCCCCCAGGGCGGGACCTCGGCTGTGGCCGTGCTGGGCCTGAGTGAAGGCGTCAGCAGCCTTGTGTTCTCGCACAGCCTTGCGAAGACACCACGTCCTTGCCTTTTACAACCTGCATTTTTCGGCTCGTGACGCCGTCCTCTGTCCGTAAGACCGACAGCACAGCCTCTTCAAGTCCCTCTGATCTGAACAGACTCTCTTGCTCCCTCTTCCCCTCCAAGGGCCTGTGAGTCCTGGGCCCACGTGGGTATCCAGGGTCATCGCCTCATCCCGACCAGCTGGTTAGCAACCTTACTTCCCAACCCACCCACCACATAACAAATACGGCACAAGCTCCGAGGGTCAGGATGTGGGCACTTTCTGGGAACATTGTTCTGCTTACAAGACACAATTTGATTATCAGTTTCACAACTAATATGTCTAAGAGTTGCTTTTTGGCTAAAAAAAATTAGGAATCTGAAGAAAGAGCTTTCTAAATAACTTACTATTACATCTCTTAAGATTTAGCAATCAATATATATCAAATACCCAAAAGCTCAATGGTCATAGAGATTTCAGTATTTAACTTAATATGATCATCTCTCCAAACAAATGAAAGTTTAAGATGAAGATCACCTTACAGCCCTAGAAAGGACGAGCCCCCCCAGCACGGTGCGTGCAGGACGGTGTCCTGGCCTGGGAAGAAAGTGGCCGGACAGCGCTGGGCAGCCCACGCTCCTAACCAGAGGGACACATACGCTCGGAGGCCTGGAAACAGAGAAAAGGCCAGGCTGTCAGAGGACCACTTAGGGGCACCAAACACCTTAAGGGTGAGCACTGCTGACCCCAAGCGAGTGAGGGGGGACCAGCAGGAGGGGTGCCCTCTGGGCCTGTGTGGGGTGGGCAGCTCGACCCAAAGCAGCTCAGGACACTCCCTGGGACCCCCGGGTGGCCACGCAGACCCCTGCTGACAGCACAAAAATGAATAGGATTTATCCAAATCTAAAAAATCACATATCATGTATTTTTCCTTAAACGTACTAATCATTTCAAACAAGCTTATATCAGGGAATTATTCACAAGTGCCAGGGTATCTCATTTCAACCTCCTATCTTCTGAATACAAACAGCCCTCAGGTTACTGGTATTCACATGATGACCTGAAGATTTTGAACAATACCAAATTCTTATTGATCATGAAAGAAAAACCAAGTTACAGTCAGAACAATTTTATTACTAAACATACTGAGAACGTTATTGAATACTTTTATTTAAAACCTAGCTACACATGAACTTATACATATGTGAAATCCCTCTGTCAGAGTATTATTCACACCATACCTTTTCCTATCACACTGCACAAACACAAGTTCACTTTGATTAAATCATATTAGGGCTCAAGTTTTTAAGCAATTCAATTTAATTAAACACATCCAGTCTATGGAAACAAGTTTTTTTCAAAGAAGGAAAATTTTTCTGAACTATGACATTTTGTTTTAATCAACCAAGGGTGGTGTTGATAAAAATGCAGTAATAGGAGCTACCCGAGCCTATATTCCAGGTCAGAATATGTCCTTTCTGGAAATTTTGTTCATCACTAAAGGAAAGCTAACAAGGCTGGGAAAACACTTATAAAGAGCGACCACTGATCGATTTTTCTTATGAAGATGCTGTGAACATGTCTGGACACTGTGGACAGTAGTGATGCTGCTGGTCACAGCAAGAGTTTGGATGATTTAACCCGAGAGGCATCTGCTGGAGGAAAATCCCCAGGGAGATGCCACTTAAAGCTTATCCACAAGTCATCTCAGTGATAAGGACAGTGACCTCACTTTCTCTAAACACGGCATTATCTCGCCAAGAAAAGACCAGGGCCATCCACCCCCTCCTCCTTCCATGCTGCCCAGCTAGGCCACATGGCTTGCCCCGCAGTAAATGGCATGGGGAGTGTGCACCTCAGACCCAAATGCAGCACCCCAGGCTCTTCCTGGGCCCTCCTACTGCCGCACGGTTCCCAGGGCCACTCCTGCGGGGCCGAGCCCTTCAGCAAAGATTAGGCTGCAAGACATGGGCATCATCTGGTACCTGATGAGGGACATAAATGCCAGAATCTGGGAGGTTCTAAATCACATCAGCCTGTTTCAAGTCATTTTGAAAGAAGAAAGCAAAAATATGCAAAAAATACTAAGGACTTTAAGTATCTGAAATATTTATTGATGGCTAGGACACAGAGTATTTATCTCAGATGCTACTAAAATCTGGTATTTCCTGATAAACCATTTCAAGTAGAAAAAAATGTCAATTTTCCTGACAGAAAATGCAATATTGGTCACAAATGGCAAAAGCTTGCTTGTAAAGTCTTCTATAGTATTGATCAAATCGTATATAATAGAAAAGAACAAACGTGTATGCAATGAATTAGGTCATGAGTTCAAATTCTGTCAGAGTTGAAAATGCGGGCCAAGCCGACACTGTACAAGCACAGGGCCGAGGACACACTCAGCAGTGAGGTCGCAGGAGGAGGAAGTCCCAGCGGCCTTTCCCGACAGTGAAGCACAGTCAGTAATGAATTACAGCTTTTACTCTCCTCTGTGATATTTTTAGTAGTCAATTAAAAAGGATAAAAGTTTGAAGGCATTTGGAATTTCCTGGAGAATTAGATAGCGAGGAAGAGAGAAAAAAAATCAAAGAACCTCTCCAGTGGCCTCAAGAGCCAAACCACAAACAACTCAGGCCACCTCAGTGTCACCTGCAGGAAAGGAATCCCTGGGCCAAGCCTCCTCAGCCATGTCACATAAGGGGAAAAACAATAAAGCCGGGTGCCGTGTGACTGTCCAATCCTGCCCATCTGCAGAGGCCCGCGGGGTATCAGGCACTCACCACGGAGATTCCCAAAGCACAGAAAACATTGGCCTGCAGGGATCTGGGAGTTGCCGCCAGGAAATGAACGGGCTCTGTACGGCACAGGGGCCTGTCATCAGAGCTCACTCTCGCCAAGCCCGGGGCCAGGAGACGCCACTGCTGGCAGCTTTATGAAGCGTCAGGACCTTTTGAGCAATGGGAAGCACACGCAGATGAGGGAACAGAAGGCGAGCAACACAGACACCCAGTGAAAAGCCTGAAGGTGCCTCTGCTGTGGGCTGGACGCAGGCATCTGGGAGGAGAGCGAGGCTGCAGCAGAGCCGGGGTGGGGGCCTGACGGCGGGCAGGGGCTGCAGGTGGCTGCACGGGAAGGTCTAACCAGGGTCTCTGAGTCACAAAACTAAGAGGCAGCAGCAGACATCATTCAGGCCGCATGTGCGCCAAAACCACTGACATATTTCATGGAGAGAAGAGATTTATTACTTACCCGATTTATATTCCTGTTCCTTACAATATCGTGGAGCAAGGTTCTCTCAAATTCTTCCAACTTCTTGGAACACTTCGTAAGAATATGATTAGAGTAGTTAAAATCGCTAATCAGTCTAGCTAAAGTGTCAACAGCTTCTGTCCAAAAGCTTGAAAAAGGAAATTTGGGATTACGGTAAAAAGTGATTAGGCCATCTAGCAACTGGCAAACAGAATCACATACTGTGGAAGAGTCGTTTTCAAAGTGGCTGAAGTCTGTTTTCAGACGCCCTGATTCCGTCAAGGTCTTCAGTTCAAGGAGATGTTGTAAGAATTGCATGTGGGAAGAGAGAGGATTTGCTGGAGCACCATGATGCCTTTTCAGAGAGGGCAGCAGCGGAAAGAGGGTGGGGGGACGGCTCTCCACAAACTCCTGGGACGCTTCTGAAGATTCAGTTCTCTGTTCGTTGGACAAATCACACCCAGAATCTTCCAGCAGAGTCACTGTGTTTTCAGAACTTCCAGGGTCCTGAGCCTGAAGCTGGGAAGATGGGTCTCCTGAGATAGAAAACAAAAAATCCGTTATCTTTCTGTAGCTAAAATTCCTTCATACAAAACTAGACAAAGATTTTAGGTTGCAGGATACAAAATTAATACACAGAAATCTGTTGCATTTTCCTATACAGTAATGATGAACTAGCAGAAAGAGAAATCCGGAAAACAATTCCATTCACAACTGCATCAAAAAGAATAAAATGCCTAAGAATAAATCTAACCAAGGAAGTGAAAGACCTATATCCTGAAAACTACAAGACACTCATGAGAGCCATTAAAGAAGACACTAATAAATGGAAATACATCCCGTGCTCATGGATAGGAAGAATTAATATTGTCAAAATGGTCATCCAGCCTAAAGCAGTCTGTGGATTCAATGCAATCCCTATCAAAATACCAACAGCATTCTTCAATGAACTAGAAGAAATAATACTAAAATTCATATGGAACCACAAAAGACCCTGAATAGCCAAAGCAATCCTGAGAAGGAAGAATAAAGCTCGGGGGAATTATACTCCCCAACTTCAAGTTCTACTACAAAGCCACAGTAATCAAGACAATTTGGTACTGGCACAAGAACAAACCCACAGATCAATGGAACAGAAGAGAGAGCCCAGATATAAACCCACACATACATGGCCCATTAATATACAATAAAGGAGCCATGGATATACGATGGGGAAATAACAGTCTCTTCAACAGCTGGTGTTGGCACAAATGGACAGCTACATGTAAGAGAAACTGGATTACTATCTAACTCCATATACAAAAGTAAACTTGAAATGGATCAAAGACCTGAATGTAAGTCATGAAACCATAAAACTCTTAGAAGAAAACATAGGCAAAAATGTCTCGAATATAAACACAAGCAACTTCTTCCTGAACACATTTTCTCGAGCAAGGGAAACAAGCAAAAACAAACAAATGGGACTACGTCAAATGAAAAAGCTTCTGTACAGCAAAGGGCACCATCAGAAGAACAAAAAGGCATCCTACAGTATGGAAGAATATACTTGTAAATGACATATCTGACAAAGGGTTAATATCCAAACTATACAAAGAAACTCATATGCCTCAGCACCCAAAAAACAAATAACCTGATTAATAAATGGCCAGAGGATCTGAACAGATACTTCTCCAAAGAAGAAATTCAGATGGCCAACAGGCGCATTGAAAAGATGCTCCACATTGTAAATTGTCAGGGAAATGCAAATTAAAACCACAATGATGTATCACCTCACACCAGTTAGGATGGCCACCATCCAAAGACAAGAAACAACAAATGCTGGTGAGGATGCGGGGAAAGGGGAACCCTCCTACACTGCTGGTGGGAATGTAAATTAGTTCAGCCATTATGGAAAACAATATGGAGGTTCCTCAAAAAACTAAAAACAGAAATACCATTTGATCCAGGAACTCCACTCCTAGGAATTTACCTGAAGAAAACAAGATCCCAGATTCAAAAAGACATAGGCACCCCTATGTTTATCTCACCACTGTTTACAATAGCCAAGATATGGAAGCAACCTAAGTGTCCCTCATAGATGAATGGGTAAAGAAGATGTGGTACATATATATAACGGAATACTATTCAGCTATAAGAAGAAAACAAATCCTATCATTTACAACAACATGGATGGCGCTAAAGGGTATTGTGCTCAGTGAAATAAGCCAGGCGGAGAAAGACAAGTACCAAATGATTTCACTCATTTGTGGAGTATAGCAATGAAGCAAAACTGAAGGAACAAAATAGCAGCAGACACAAGACTCCAAAGGTGAGGGGTTATCAAAGGGGAGGGGTGAAGAAGGTGGTGGGGAGGGAGGGAGAAGGGGATTGAGGGGCGTTATGATTTGTACACATGGTGTGGGGGGGATCATGGGAAGACAGTGTAGCACAGAGAAGACACGTAGTGACTCTATAGCATCTTACTATGCTGATGGACAGTGACTGTAATGGGGTATGTGGGGGGGACTTGATAATATGAGTGAATGTAGTAACCACAATATTTTTCATGTGAAACCTTCATAAGATTGTATATCAATGATACCTTAATAAAAAAATAATTATAAAGATATGCCTCATGGTCCTGCTCTGCAGGGTGGAAGCAGCTAGGCACTGTGACTCTTATCCTTTGGAAAGAAAAAAGGGTTAGAATAAATGCCAGCTTTCATTCTGTAGATGCTCACTATTCACACAATAGAGCTTGAAAGCCCACCAAGGGCGCAAGTTCAATCCCAGCCCAGCCGCACAGACAATTCAACGGCTCCTCCCCCAGCAGCCCACACACCTGTCAACCCGCCATCCCTCTCGCTGGTGTCACCCACAGTCCCCAAGCTCACAAGCGGAGCAGGTTAGCTCAGACCAATCCTACAGTCAGATGTGTCCCCTATGAAGGGCCAGCATCTGTGTCTTCTTTTCTTTCTAGTAGGGAACTGCAGCATAAGACACAGAAAACTCCAGAAAAACAAGGGAATTAAAACTGGGTGGTAAGAAGAGCATTTGGGTTAAATACAGAAAATAAGTCTGCCTTAAACCAGTGTTCCTCATCGTGGCTGTTCTGCAGATTAACCTCGGGGCTGTGAAAGACCATCGATGCTTCATGCAGCCCTCAGAGACCTGACAGGCCGGGTCGGGGCTGCACCCGGAAGCCAGGCTCTGGTCACCCCACAGCCCAGGCTGACGTACAACAGGGTACAGGGCACCTGCCCAGACCTCTAGCAGGTGTCTAACAACTGCAAGCAGGCAAAGCCTGTCACAAAGTCACTCAAAATGAATGCAACTGTTAATCCGACTGCCGGAACTGTGCTCTTTCACACCGACCTGTGGGCACCCACGGCCTGGGTTCCTAAGACGTTTGCCGTTAGGTGAGTGATCAGTGAGTCTGCATCACCGTGTTCACCACCACAGGCATCCGGGCACAGACAAAACACCTGTTTAAAGAGAAGTTTCGGAGGGGCTGGGAAATTACAGCTCACTGAGCCCTCAGGTCTCTAGGGCCAGGTCCTGCGGGATTCTTGTCCTGCCAGACATCAGAGGGCACATGGCCGGCCACACGAGGCCACCCACCAGCGTGGACCTCGCCTACTTTGGACCAGCTCCTGCCTGGAAATTACAGATTCGATGAGGCACCCTGTGGTTCACAGGCCAAAAAACCATCAGATGAAAACAAACACTTCATAGGATGCACAGGTAGAGGTAAATTTGGGGATGTTAAAGGCAAAAATTCGGTATTAAAATATGCAAAATGCATCTAATTAGTATGACTTGAGTGAAGCATAAGGCATTCTGTCAAAAATTTTGTTTTATAGAAGAAATGGACAAATCATACCTAATTCCAGGAGAAAAGGTATCTGTTATCAGAATAACAAGGACAGGCAGGAAAGATGCTTAAATTCTGCATATTCTGCTTTACTGATAAATTAGAAAAACTCCAAATACAATTAAAAGTATGTAGAATAATGATTAAATTTTTACCAGTTACTTTTTCACGACGTGGTTGTCAAACTGTGTACAAGTTAACGTTTCGTGTATTACATTTTACATAGGAAATCCCATACTTCTGCTACAAATATTTACCAGCCTAATCACAGGTGGTGTTTTAAATATCAGGCCCAGAAACACCCATGAGAAAGCACCCCGTGTAAGATCTCAGTGCCCCCAGCCCCCTGGAGGACACAAAGCGGAGCGGTCTGCCCTCAGGTGACTTACTAATGGGAAGATAACGAGGAATGGGTAGAGCCAGGCGTTTCAGAGCCGAAGAGCGGCTTGTTTGGAAGCAATCCTTTTCCCTTATTTATTTCAAAGCACAAAACTTGGCGGGCTTAGCCTGAATGTCTTAGACACAGGCAGTATTTCTCTCTGACTCCAAGAGAAATGGAAGAGACCGAAAAAACTGAAAAATCATTGCGCGCTCAGTACAGAATAATCGATGATGTGAAGTAAGGAACGTGCTCAGTGGCTGAGCACAGCCCCCACCCTCAGGGCCTCTGCGGCAGCACACGCTTCTCTGTGGGGAACTGAAATTCCGCAGCAACTCTAAGAAATGCTTACAGGCAAGTTGAACTTAAAAATTCACATAAATGCTGCTGTTTCCAAAACACAAGATTTGCATGACCAGCCTGCCACTTGCCTGCAATAGGAAACGCAGGTCCCGCCCCTCCTGGTAAGGAGCAGGGGGGCCCCGCCTGTCATGATGCAGCCCCACCTGCCCCACGGGGAGACCCTCCCAGCTCCTGCGTGCAATGCTGGCTTTGTAGAATCTTACTGATCTGTGCGCTCAGTCTCCACGACCATCAGGAGTCCCTTCGATTTCCTTCTGTGCTGTGGGCAGCTCTATGTGTTTAGCTCTCAGTATATCCCACAATGCAATGTGAATATGTTGTGCTTACAGATCCACATGCATGATGTGGAAACTACTGATGAGTAAACGTGTTTGGCCTTCCTGCCTATAACATGCTACCATTCATTTATAGCAATAGGTCAAACAGTACAGTTTAATCAGAATTTAAGTTTTCTACTGATTTCTAGTATACAGTATACTACATTTCCTACCCCACAATTATCCCCTACAAGGCAACTTTTATATTACTCTAAATAGGTATAAAAAATGAAGTCTCCCTTGCAAAAAAGAGGTGGGGCTCTCATACAACTGCCCAGCTCATGCACCCAGAAACACGGCAGATGCCGAATCCTCCATGAGAGCACATGGGTGCTCACTGGAAGGGACAAGGGAAGTAAGGACGAGGCAGGGAGACAGGACGAGGGATAATGAGGGAAAGGAGGAGGTCCAGACAACCTACAACTCACACTCCTGGGGTTCCCGTCATGCTTTCAGGGGATCTCCTGTGCGGGTTTCGCTGAGCAGTAGGAGACAGCGCGAGGCACCGTTTCGGGGCTGTGCTGGCGTCACTCTTCTGCGTCTTTGTTTTCCCTGACTTCTCCCGCCTGCCTCAGCTCTGTCGGGCTCTCCGTTCTTTGGTGGCTGGGTTCAAATATCATCAAT